TGTTTTTATTTGTCCCACTGGTTTTAGATACGAAATGTTATGAACCGTGTCATTTGTTAGCAAAGCAAGTAAAACAAAACGTGGTCTCATACCCAATAGTTTATAGTCTTTTGATGACATCATAGCCAATTGCATACACCAGTGCAACTTATATATCTGACACATATGCACTGAGATAGTATATTAAGTCCCATGTTAGTGTTTTCATATGACATTTTGGGGGAACCTGATAGGTACAAGAAATCTCTCTTTACTGCATTGTCAGCTGTCAGTGGAAAGGCATATTGCATAAGGAAGGTCAGAAATCACACAAATATATTCAGCATCTCCTGTGATGCTGGTTAAAGAGTTGTAAGTAGGAATAAAAAGGTCCTCACTCTCATGGCGTTTGTAGACTACATAAGCAGTCAAACTAATAAACAGGCAATTATACTACAGTGTGATAAATGCTCTTATATGGTGAGACATGTGAGAATATAAGAGGCGTACTTAACTCAGAATTGGGAAAGGAGTGGGAATGGGCAGGAAAGGATTCCTGGAGGAAATGTATCCAATTTGGCTCCTGGAGAGTGAATTGAATTTAAATAGGTAAAGGAGAAAAGACTGCAGAGAACTAGAAAAGGGAGGAAGTATGCCTTAGGCATCTACCAGAAAGCTGGAAGGGCTAAGTTGAGTTAGAGGACAACAAATTAACAGATGGGGTTGGAGAGGCCAAGAGGGGGTCCCAGACCATGAGGGACACCTTTAAGTTACAGTAGGGTGTTTGGACTGTATTCTGAATGCAGCAGGGATTCATGTGTGTATTTGATGAAAAGTACCCATGTGTGGCTCCGTGACAGAGATTAGATTTGAAAGAGACACAGCAGAAGCAGGAGCAAGAGCAATAGCGGACATCTGGGCAAGATACTGTACAGTGGCTGTCAAACTTAAAAGGAAGGGGTAATGCTGGGGGCATATTTAGGATGTGGATCATTACCTGAATGTGGCAGAAAGGGAGAGAGAAGCATCAAGGATGATCCCTTGGTTGAGGTAGATGGAAGGGTCATCACTGGGGAAGGGCTGCCAAAAGGAGCTGGTGTTGATGCAGGAAAAATGGATGTGGGGCATGAGGAGGGCCATGTCCCAGGCTTTGGTTGAGCCCCTGGGATGTGCCCCACCAAGTGTGGGTCCTTGGCTTTGCACAGGAAAGAATTCAGAGGGAGCCACAGTTGAGTAAAGGTAGATTTATTTAGAGAGATACATCAAAAGGCAAGAGAAAGGCCATGAGGTGGTAGGTGTTGGGTGCCCAGATTAGAGTAAAAGTAGGTACACACTCTGTAGACAGAGTGTGGGCTGTCTCCGAACGGGCAGAGAGAGGCTGGAGGCTTCGAGGCACCATGTTGCCAGTTTTTATGGGCTCAGTGGCTTCATATGCTAATAAGTGGAAGGACCAGCCTAACTAGCCTGGGGAAGGGGCTCGGATTCCAAGGAAGTTGGCCATTTCTCACTCTTTGACCTTTTGTGGCTCGCCTTGGGGCTGCCGGTGCCTGTGGGCATGTTATTTACCATGTTAATATATTACAATGAGCGTATAATGAAGCTCAAGGTCTGCTAGAAGTCAAATCTCCCACCATCCTGAGCCTCAGGGCCTGCTGGGGGTTGAATCTTCCACCGTTTGATGTTAATTGCTGTATCATTCCTTGAATGGATGTGCCTGCCCCCTTCCTGTCTCAGTATGGGGGAGGACAATGAGCTCAGCTTTGAGCATGACTCAGTTAACTGTGTGTCATCTCGTAGATACTGGATTTGGGTCAGCAGTTGTGTGCACAGGTGTAGGGTTTGGACAAGGACTGGGGTCTCTGAGTTCCAGTGTTTTGATCTCGTAAATGATGATGTTACCATCTAGCTCATACACGTCATGAGACTGAATGAAATGAAATATAAAGCAACTTACACAGTGCTGAAAGGAAGGCAGACAGTATTGTTTTCATGTAGTATGTTCTTTAATTTTTATTAATGATGCTTTTCCTTTTGTTATTCCATTTTCCAGCCTGTAGCCTGAAATGATTAAAAAGATGATAGCAGCTAGGGGAGGGTATAGCTCAGTGGCAGAGCACGTGACTAGCATGCACAAAGTTCTGGGTTCAATCCCCAGTACCTCCATTAAAATAAATAAATAAAAACCTAATTACCTCCCCCAGCAAAAAGAATTAAAAAAAATTAAAATTAAAAAAAGAGGTGATAGCAGCTGACATCTGCGGAACAGACAGCACTGTGTTAGGCACGCTTCACTTTTTTAACCATGTACAGATATTAAATCATTTGTTTCTCAGAAAAACTCTGTGCAGCACATACTTTTATTATCCATATTTTATAGATGTGAAGACAGGCACAAAGAGGGTAAGTAACCTGCTGAAGATCATGCTAGGGAGCGTTGGAGCCTGGATTTGGACAAAGACAGTCAGGCTCCCCTTCCTGCACTTTATCAGAATAGACTTTTGCTTAACATGCTTTAAACGTCTAATTGGTTGATATTGTTGGGTTTGTTCCTTAAGAATATTCTAGTGGTCACCTTTGTTTTATTCTTCTATAAAACCTGTACTCTTTCTGAAATGTTTTGGGTAGAGAACCCGCAATTCTCTTTACAGTTAACATTAAACCATTCTTCTGCTTCAATATTATAATGTCCAGTCTATTGCTGATTGGCTTCCATACATGCAAATGTAAATATAAATTTCCATTTCAGGGCCGTTAACTCCAGCCATTTCCATGTTCATTGACTTGGAGGTTTGAAAGGAACTTAAAAGTCTGCTTATCTAACCTCATACTGAATGTTTGATTCATCTTGTCAAGTGGTTGTTATCCCAAGAATTCCACAGTTTTAATCACAGAAACCTTCCTACGCAAATCACATCTCAGTGTTTGCAGTTGTTTTCAGTAACCTTTTTTCTACCTGTGTTTCCCCAGCCCCTTGAAAGCTACCTGGCACATGCAAAGTGCACCATACATTGTGTGGAATGAATAAGTAAATAAATGACTGACCATCAAAAAAAAAAAGAAAAAGAAAGAAAGAAAAGAAAAAAAGAAAAACCACATTCACTGTTCTTTAAGTTTTTTTGTAATGCTACCAAGACAAGCCAAATATCCTCAATTCAAAATATGACCATTTTGTGTAAGAGGTAGGCTAACAGAGCTAAGGAAAACATTTGGGTTTTATTGTGGAAAAAAGGAGGTGACATGTTTAGAATTCCAGTAACGCCCCAACACTGGGATGGGTGGGAGTCCGAGGAGACGTGCTGTCTGCCTTGGACACCGAGGTAGGCAAGTTGGAGCTGCTTCCTAAGCCTGGATGGTTGCCATTTCAGCCTGTATGAAACATAAACTTGAACTTTATTCTGAATTAGGGAGGGAACCAAGAGCTCAAATTGGTGATCAAGACTGGGTCAAGGTCAACTCGTGTCATGAACAGTTGGATTCTTATGCCTGTCTGTGAAGAGAATCCTGTAGTCATGTATTGCAGCTTTCAAGGTCTACGTAATTTTCCTTTGTTCTCTCTTTTGGGTTATTCTAGCAACACTACCCATAAACAAAACCCAGTAGTAACTAGTTCTAATTTTAATACTTTTTAATTATAGCATCAGTAAAATAAAATTCAAATTTATGTCTCACGATTCCTATTGTTTCCAAATTTATTCATTGAAGTCCTAAGGAAGCGTAAAAGGTAATTGACAACTAAATTTGAAATAATTTATTTACGTCCTAGTCTCTGAGTTCTAATTAAAAGTGCTTCATATGGCACATAAAGCCAAAACTGGGATTCAGATTGGTTATTCAGGGTTGTCTCTTTTCAATAAAGTTATTCATATCACCTGATGATGACAGTGAATTTGTGGTTGCTAAGTTAGGGTTGGTCTTTGCATCTCTAGGAGTCTGATTAAATGGGAGTTGCCACTTGCTGTGCTGTGAGTTGCCAAGAAAGCTGAGTCTGAGTCTGTCACAGGTGCTACAATTTGTATTTCAGAAAATTTGCTTCCCCAACTTTAATTATCCCCAAAGTATTCTGCTTTACATAAAGCACTGAAGGAAATCAGCAAAAAACAATTTTTTTTTTCAGTTTTAGTACTGTGATGTAAATTAGGATTTTTGTCTCCTACCTACATGTTGTAGAGATGATGGAATTTCAGATGGAGGGGAAACTCATTTCATAATATAAAACACTGCTTTCTACTGACTTTTCCACTTTTGATTCAGAAAAAAAATAATGCCAAATAGCTATGACTGAATGACACAGTCACAATGACAAGAGGCATGGTTTCACGCTTCTTAAAGGGGAACAGACATGAATCAGGTAGACAGTGTTTGGTTTACTAATGATTAATAATGGGGAATCCTAAGCTTAAAAATATTAAATTTAAGATTGACTTTTTCTTCTTAAATATTAATATGTGTTTGACATTCATGGAAATAAGTATGTATCTTTTTTTTTTTTTTATTAGGCAGCCTGTCTTTTGCAGAGGGACTAGGGAACTGGGTAGGGCGTGGAGAGAGTCATTCACTTTTTAGCAAAATAATCCCTCTACATATCAGTATATGTTGGTCAGGTTTTTTTGTTTTGTTTTCCATAAAACAAAAATTTTTTTTTAGCACTTCAACATGAAAGCCTCCTGGGAAAGTTTCCCGTAAATATTTCACCGCAGAGATAGTTTCTTCAAAATTGCTTGAGTTTGACTTGCTTAATTAGAGGAAGATCTTTGACCCTAGAAATCCATAAGAAGTAATGACGGCTATGAAAACAATTTTTAAGAGATTAGTAGTGCCTGATCATTTGATTAAGAAATATGCTATAGTTAAATCTCTTTGGAATATTTTTAAATGAGATTCCTTATTTTTTTTTCATGTCTTTCTCTTTGTGTTAATGCGATTCCAACCGATGGAAATGTTTACCTGAATGGAGCAATAAATGTGTTTACTGGAAATTGCTTAGCCTTTGAATTGAAATGATAATTTTATATTCTTCGTAGGATTACTTAACCATTCATAAGTATGGCAATGCTGCCAGAAATGATCTCTGGAGCACACTGTCAGAGGTAAGGCACAGAAAGCTTCAATGCCAAAACCTCTTCTTGAATATTTGAATTGAGTTTATAAAACATTCATAACTTTTATTGACACTGACAGTTTGTTTTTACTTTTCACATTTCCCTTTTCTTCAGATTGCTTTCTTGTTTTGCATTTAATGTATTATAAAGATAATGAGGTTTAAAATTACTCCAACTACGGATGGTAGTAAAAGACACCTTACCTACTTCAAAAATAATACTGCTTCTGAAATATAATTTTAATATGGTGTCATGTTTGAGAGAAATATTGATGTGAAAGAATTTTTTTCTATAAATGAATAACAAATATTTAAATTTAATATTAGACTTACTAAGGATACTTAATGATGCTGCAAGTACTTGCTTTACAATAAAGTATGTTTTCTCTTCTATTAGGTATAAACTTTAATGTTAATAAAGCTTTTATTTCTATGTATACATGCATGAAGCTTAAGTTAAGGAAAGAAGATTGATTTTACTAACACATTATATTAGTTTCACTGAGTTTAAATGTTTTCATACGTAAGTAAATCATAAAGGTAAACCTGAAAATGGTTTCATGTTAATTATGTTTATAAATCATGTTTATTAAATTAACGTATACAATTTTGGTTATAAAGGCTTTAAAAAGGAATGGAAAATATGTAAATATACAAGAAGTAATGGATCAGTGGACGCTCCAGATGGGTTACCCTGTTATCACCATCCTGGGAAATATAACAGCAGAAAATAGAATAATAATTACCCAGCAACATTTTATTTATGACATCAGTGCTAAAACTAAAGCACATGAACTTCAAAATAACAGGTACGGCTCTTTTTCACATGAAAAAAAATTGCTATCATTTTTGATGTTTCACTTTGCATTTTTAACATTTTTAAAAGCATTGGTAACAGAATTATGAAATGCACGTGAGATAGGGTTTTCATTTCTTTATTTACATGTGGTATTTTCATTTTGAGTCCTCTTTTATTCCCATTTCCAGATAGTTTGACTATCAAGGTTATTTTGTTTGAGAAGAGAATTTAAATTTAACTTAAATTTAAATTATCATGGTCATTTACAAAAATAATGTGTGGTTTTTTTTTACTTTTCCCTGTAAATGTTGAATTAAATTCAAGAAAGTTAATGCTTTGAAGTGAATTAAGACTGGTTTTGAGATTTATGAAATAGATGAGAACAGAAAGTAACAATCCAGAAAGATGAGTTAAAACAAATAAAACCCCACAGACTGAATCTTCTGAGCCAAAGGAACTCAAGCTAGGTCCGCTTTAAAATGGTCTGGGTGTCAGTGCCACTTACCATCAATGTATGTCCTCTTCCTTCACTTGTAGTGTTTGAAAACCACTAAACAGGCAACATATATGGAATTTGATTTATTGTTACTTTAACTTTCTTTTGAAACTTTTATTTAATTACTGAAAAGTCAGCAACGGTGTTTCTTTTCTATCTCGTGTTTTCCTACTGTTTGGTGCTTTATTAAAGCTGAGCCAGGGAAAGATAGTAGAACTTAAATCATTCCATTTTAGTTTTTCAAAAGTAGCCTGGTAAGAGGTAGGGAGGCGGGGACAGGGGGATGGAGGGTAAAGCCAGTACATAAAATGAGGTGTTGGATTAGGCTGGTCATGCTGTCTCCCTTTACTTTGGAATATGAGGAATCAGGTTTTATCATCCACCAGAATGTAGATGTGAAGGACGCATCCAGCTTTCTTCGTTATCTCTAAGAGGAATGGAAATCATCCCAAGAAGGCTAACTCCAAGGCAGGCTATAGGTAGACGTGACTAAGAAATTCATAAACATTTTCTAATAACTAAATTTGGAACCCACTTAAGGAAGCATTGTCTTCAGTCTCCTGCTCAGTGCATAGAATGGCCTTTAACAAAATGCCCTTTAAATCCAACGGTTTGGACTCACGGAATATGGTATTATCCCGCTCCGCTGTCAGGGGCTGACTGTCAGCCCTTCCTCACCCAGCCTGGATTCCCCACAGCTGCCAAACGCTGCTTCTGACCACCCACTTTGGTCTCAGGTTAAACCTGCTTAGACACCAACCCTGGCCTTGCCAGAAAGTACATGAAAACTTCCTGACTGTGGCGAAGTTAGAGAGATTCAGGCCGTGCCTTTCAGAGTGATCTGCCTGACATCAATATCACTGATGCAGAAAAACATAAAGGACACGCAGATGACAGAACAAATTCTGAACAAAAATACTCTGTCAGCCTATAGCATGCATCAGATGTATCCGCCATGAAGTCTGGCTCTTTAAAGGAAGAATTTCTCCCAGGCTGTGTAGGACTATGTCACATCTACAGAGCTTTGCTTTTGCTGGAGTTCTAAAATCATTGTTTGGGTGATTTTTGAGCCCTGAAAACTTGGCATAGAAAATCTTAAGAGTGAGTTAATGCATGGCATCCTTCCAATGTCAAAATTCATCTTCTACCTTATTTTGAAAGAATAGCACTTGCAGTTGAAATTTTAGCATTCAATTTTATATTCTTGATCATTCAATTCACTATGACTTTGTGGTCAAAGCTTCAGTACCACTTCCACCTGCCCTTTGTCTGAGCCTGCTTAGTTCTTTATCATGTGATGCAAACAGTTGATGCTTTAAAACACAGAGGCCATTTATGCCAGAAATCCCATGAATTGTGGGTATTTTCTCTGACAGTATAGTCAATTCTTTATCTTTAATTTTGTAAAAGACTTTAGACTATGACTGCAACATGCCTAGAACATTTTTGAGGTGTACCATAGTAATGTTTTTCACATGTAGTAGCTGCGTTACAGCAGAGAAAGGAAAGGTCTTTATATAATAATTGTACATGCTTACTTGATATGTGAAAGTGAATAAAATATTTGCTAGAATTTTAGTATTTGGAAAGTTGTGGATTTATTTACGTAGCTGTTTTTTCTTTATGAAGTTAATACATTATAAAGTTTAGTAATGTCTCCTCCTACATTGAAGGAGATTCTCAGGGTCCTGTGCTACAGAGAATTACATTTATCTCCTTTTGTTTTTGGTCAATGACAGTAACCTCTGAGCAATTTTCATGGAATCTACATGAATGCTTCGCTAATATTGGTACCATTTAAAGAGTTTTTTTCACTCGAGCTAAAATAAGCACCTATTCTTTTCTATCTCATCATAATCATTAGAATAAACATTGCTTTATTACAAAAAATGTGACCTCCTGATGAAGACTATTTAAGAAAACAAAACTCTCGAGGGTCTTTTGAAATTCATTTTTTGTTTTTTGGGTTTTTTTTTTGGCTTAAAATTAGATACTACTAAAATTTGAGTTAAACTTAAGGGGCTAGGGCACAATCTGATTTTATGAGTTCCTTTTACTAGTCTGTTTTTAAATATAACCTGCTGCGGTCTTAGGTTTTTTTACAGCACACCTCACAGAGCTTTTCACCCACGATGTTTAGGGTCTTCTAACCTTTTAAGTTGTAATCATAAAGCAACATAATTGCCATGCTCTGTTTGATTTTAAAATGAAAAGATGAAAAGACTACATACGTATTATTTGGAAAGTTATGAAAAATAGCATATAGTATTAATAGTATAGCAATTCAGAAATGAATACAAACTTCAGATCTGCTTGTTAATTTATAATTTTTATTTTGTGTGTGTGTGTGTGTATGTATGAATGTACACACACACACACGGACATGTAGAATCGAGTGCAAAGTCATTCTGAGGAAAAATATAGAAGGCTATTTTTAAAAATTTTACAAAATGCCCCAATTTATATCCCAATATCTTAAAGTTAACCTTTTTTTTTGCATCTGATATTGCTATACCATGAAATGTTTGCCACTTAGGACGTTTCCAGTTTACGAATTCCAGTTTAGGAATGGACTGTCAACAACAGGCAGGTATAGGAATCTCTTTTTTCTGGGCTTTGGAGACTTTTGCTAAAACTCAAATATCAAAACATATCAATTTGTATTACAATGTCTAGTTTCATTATTTAGAAGACTACAGCTTAAATAAATGTAAAATTATGTTTGTTTACATTAGGGGCAAATAATATTTCACATTTTATGATCATGCTATAAAAAGACACATTTATCCTGGAAGAGTTTTAAACATTTTAGTTTTGTATATTTCTTACCTTTTAACAGATACTTAATTGTACTAGAAAGTCAAATTCACAAAAATAAACCTCTGTCTTATGTATTGATTGATTTTTTTTTTGACTTCAATGCAATCGCATTCGATTTATTTCAACAGCCAATTTCTGGAGTGCCTTTCATTTCCAGGCCTTTGCGAGATCTTAGGTACACAAGAATGAGTTCACAGTTTAATTTGAGAATCAGATAGAGAGTCAGGCACAGTTGTTGCTCAACTGATTATTTCAATTAATCAAAAAGAGAACGTCTATTTTTTTAGAGCATGGCTGTTGAGTATATACATATATATAAATTCTCTGTCTTCCTCACAGTAAGTCCATTATTAAATATTCATGAAATATTCTTGGTATCATATTACGAGCTTGGAGGTAATTGCTAAAGAGCTTACATAAGATGTGTTCACCAATGTCTACCCCACAGACACACCTGTTTGGCTGCTGTAGGTGGTTTATTTCCTCACCAGCGTGTGCAGTTCATTGCAGCATAGCATAAGGTCCCCACATAGCTGGTACTCAAAGATACATCTCTGATTAAGTACAGCCGTATACTCTTAAGATTCAGAATCTTAAACATACTATTTTAACTTTCCATGTTGGAGATAGCACTTGGTATAAAACTAAGAATTTCTTCCAATCTTCCTTTTGGGTTTTTTATTATTACTAAATTCTGTTTATTGTGACTGGGAAACATGAAATGATAAAATGATCAAATTCCATATGACAGATTTGGAGATGTCCTCCCCTCTGACCTCACCAAAGGAAAAACAGAATGTTCATTTCTATTTTTCGGTCTACAACCCAGACATTGTTCCCTGAAAAATTCTTAATTCTTCCTTCACTCTGACAGTTATGGAGTTCATATGGCATCCCTTTTTACATTTTTTCAAATCAAAAATATTTTTCACATACTGCGCATTGTTGGCTGTTCCTGTTGCTAATGGTGTAAAGATGGGTCAACATAATCTGGCTGCATTTTATGGAAACAAAATGTAGTCATTGGATTTTATTGTAAGATGATCCAGCTTATCTCTGGCAACTCATTTGAGACTAGATTGATATTACTTCATGTACAAGTTTAGGCCTCGAATTTTAAATCCTATAAAAGTCTTATTCTAGAATTTGCTTCTCCTTGATAACCGAGACTCATGACAGATCCCTGCCCATTGGTGGATGGTTTCACACATCAGGTTGGAAATTCCATTTCAGAAAACAAAGCATTAAGTGTGTCTCACCGTGTTCTTTGTGTTGATCTGGATTTGGGGGGCTCTGGTTAGTTTTGCTTTTTGTTTCTGCCTTGTTGACTAACTTTAGGTGTGCTGCATTAACCTTTCTATAAATACTGCAGAAGTGTTTCTTAAGAACAGTTAGACAAATAAGTAAGGAGCATGTTGAAATGCAAATGCATGAAACCACTGAAATGTGCATTAATCTAATATAGAATCAAGTAGAAAGGAGTTATTTTGAGACTTTAATCAATAGATGGTAGTGGCTCAGATTTATAGATTTTAGCTACTTTTTATTCCTAATGCAAAATGTAAATCTCCTTTTTTTCCCCTCAAGATAAATTGTTTTGTTGGTAGTCCCCCTTTTGTATTGAAATTAAAACTCTTAGAGACCAGGTCTGCTTAGTGACATTGAACTAGTTAATTCATCTTCTTGACTTATTCGCTGACATTTATGACTGGGGAATTTAAAAAATTCTTCTAAAGAGAATAATAAAAATCACCCGGAAGGTGGATGGGAAATGGAATTTGTTAATTCGTTATAACCATTTTTATTCTCAAAGTTTCTCTTTTATTTTGCAGTTACCTGTGGCAGATTCCATTAACTATTGTGGTAGGAAATAGAAGCCATGTGTCTTCAGAAGCAATTATTTGGGTGTCCAACAAATCAGGTAAAATATATATTCTCCTCCGAGGAACTATTTGGGTCCAGGTACTTGTTTAGCAACTTACGCTTTGGTTTCAGCTGTTATAAAAATGTGAATAAAGACAAATTACAAAGAGAATATAGAAGAATCACTTCTATAAAGTTAAACTATCATAGTATAGTTTCTACATAGTCTGATTTCAGTCTGCTGGTACAATTGTTAAATTTATTTGTGTCTTGTATGGTAAAGAGAAAATTTGAACCTAAGAGTTTGTAGCACCAATTTTAACTGCTTTAAATTGTATCATGTAATAATTCCCAAGTGTGATTAAATTATAATCATAACTGCCAGTACAACAGTATGCCAGATACTGAAACTCAGGCCACACTTTTAATTCTGTTTTCCGGCTATCTTCTCTTTACCAGACTGGCTGTTTAAAGAATGGGCGAGGCAATATTCTCCATTGAATTAGATAATTATTAGGCCAGAAGGGAGAGGCCTTGGTGGGTTATCAAACCATCCCTTGGGCAGGGTTAACGCTCAAGGAGCAGAGAAAGATGAGATTCTATTCTGTTTCTAAGTATCTTCAAATAAGGTAGTGACCTATTTCGATTCACTGTCAGAAAGCTATTTCTTGAATCCAATCTTCATGCTACAGTGTGGAACAGGTCTCCCTTATTTCTGTTTTCCTTTGAATTGAAGAAAAAAGCTAATTATCATCTTTTATGTAACGTTTCATTTAGATTTAAATAGTCAAGTATGTCCACATTTTGTTTTTCCTACTCTTTTCTAACATTGTGCTAATTGATGTCTTCTTGCTGTTTTGTGAGCATCATTTTAAACAGCCACTGATCTTTTTTTGAAATAACGTGAGGTATAAATAAATAACAAAAGTATTATTTCTTCCCCTCAGTCTTGCTATTAAGGGAGATACAGGTGCTCCAAATACATACACACATAAGAAGAAGTTCTTACAGCAGAATCTAGTCTTACCAGAAATATAAACTCCTGTTTTTTGTAAAAAAGTTGATTTTTTATTTAAATTTTCATTGTATTTTATTGTATTTTTTGTAATTTTATTGTATTTTTAACATATGATTACATATTATAAAAATATGTGCTTTCATTTATACACATGAAGTATAAAACATTCACATGTAATGTAGCGATACATTGACATGCTTACTTTAAGATGTGTTGCTGTTTCTCCTTTTAAATTGCTTATTATAATCCATTCCTTTCATTTCTTCGAGGTAGTATTTATATCATAATTCGAAATTCACACTGACTGTATTATTTGTCTTTATACTTCTCTTTTACCTCCACATAGTTGTTTTATTTATCTA